TCCTGCTACCAGACTGGCGGCTGAAATGCAAGCCTAGAAGACTGGCCCAGGCACCCGGAAGTTCCCCATGTCCTTCTTTCCTTTCTGCGATCACTTCCTACATCAGTCTCAACCATTTGCAGCCACTCAACAGCCACATACCAGAAATCTGGACTATGGCAACAGGCCCCAGCAAGACAGCACTAAAAGGGGCAGCTCCTAGGCCTCTTTCCACAGGGGCACTTCCCAAAAATGAAAGGTCAGCTGAGGCACCCAGAGATGGAAAGTCCAGGCAGGAAAAAGCCTTGCTCCTCACTACCCACTCCAGTGCAGTCCACCACCCTACCCCCCGCCTCCACCCTCCTGAACTAGGAGCCCATATATTATTCCATGCCGTGGTTCATTTCAGCAAAAAATCAACCAGCATTCTTCTGACCTGGGGCAAAAAATTCCCTCATTGAGATCCTGAAAAATAACATTACATCATGTTGCCTGTGTCAGGTTTATAAATGGGCCAAGGGGAGGCAGGGGTGTAACCTGACACTATCAAAACACTGGCCCTGGGAGAAGAAAGGAGGCCATTGTTGTAGGCTGTCAGCTCTCCTCTAGCTGGAGGTAAAGTGAGCTTCGAGAAATGTTAGTGGGAGGCCAGGCACGGAGCAGGCAGGCCCTCACTCCCCATCTCCTAAGAAATCAGGCAGCCTCCCTCCAACGCAGGCTTGTCCCCATTTCCTGGGGTGTGTGTCACCCTCTCTGCTATTCTCTGGGCAGAGTAGATGAGCTAAGTCATTTTTATTCCCATGCCCCAAAGCAAAGAAGCAGGCCTACCTATGGCAAAGCCTGGGAGCCAATTTTCTTTTTTTCCTGAGCAAGACTCACTTCTCTAAACAGTTGACCAAAAAAGAGAACTGAGCCCCAATGACTGTGTGTACACAAGAATCATAATTTTATCTGAAACCCAGAAACGTGAACACAGCCCAGAGCTAGAAAGAAAAACAGAGCCCAAGAAGGGTCAAGTGAACATCCAACCTTAAGGCAAGAAATCCTGAAATCTGAGAAAGAAAGACGCATTGCAAAGGGACAGGCTGGGGTTCCGACAAGGACACAAGAGAGTGACCAAAAGAAAGCGCGGGGAGGATTACAGAGCTGGAACAGGCACAGAACCAGCCAAAGGACAAAGTGCTGGCACAGAGATTAAAAACATCTTCGTGGATAAAAGGAGAGGAAAAAGGATTTATGGTGAGAGAAAGTCCAGAAAATAAAAAGCGAGACAAATGCAAGCCAGCCTGACTGGAGACAGGATTCATTCTGCTGGTCAAACATTCAATTTGATTTTCTCTTTTCTTTCTTCCCCAGCTCCCAGCTCTGCCTTAGGGAGAGGCGAGCATGCAAATGTGGGATCCATGGCAGAATGCGTGCAGATACTTTTGGCATCAGCCTGGCAGCCCTGTGATCACTCAGGACAACAGGCCTAAGGTCCCCCGGTGAACCAGCGAACACAGGGAGGTGGCAGACTGATCACTGGTCGTCCCCCTGGTACTTGCTTGTTTCCACCAAATTGTTGCTAATCCTATCACCACTCCACCAGGACCTTAACCTCTTACAAAAGCTCTCCCCAGCCACTCCCCCAATGCCTTGGAGGCTTAATTCCCCAGCAATTAAGAAAGCAGGCCATACAGACCACTGGGTTCCTGCTTGCTAAACTCTGCTTTTATGTCAACCCCACCACATTTTCTTTGGAACACAACAGGGACCCCCTCAACTAAAGTGGCATGGTGCCCCGTGGCCCAAGTGCATGGCCCTTCAAAAGAGCTTTCCCACAGAGCCCTGGACCCAGCCCCCCGCCCTGCTTCAAAGAAGAGAAGGGGAGGGGCCCGGGGACCACCCTCCATGCTCAGAGCCTACATTTCCCTCGCAGCCCCAGTTCCTCAAGTCTCTCATTCGGCGACAGAGAGACTGTTATTGGCGCCAGAGCGTGCTGCACTGAGCTGATGGCAAGCAGGGACCCCGGGGCAGGCGAGGCAAAAGAGGTGGCAGCCAGCGACCGCCTGGGTGCGCAGAACCAGGCAGACAAAAGGAGCGCACAGGCGCGGAAGGCCGGGGCCTTGGACAGAGGGCATCTGTGAACTGGCACCAACCCTTTCTTCGGTACCACAGGTTCCAGTCTGGGAGATTCTCGGATCACTTCTGTCACTATGCCAGGGAGCCTTTGCTCCCCAGTCACGGGACTCCCTTCTCTGCTGAAGATGCTCAAGAGTTGTCTAACTGCCCTCTACTTCTTTCACAGTACCCCCCAACTGAACTGGGTCTTGCATTTCAGTAGAGAGAGACCAAGTGCCTATTATGTGCCAGTCACTGGCTTAGGTGTGGGGACTACGGTGATAAACCCATGATAAGCCCAGCAGGAACAGTCTCTGCCTCTCGGCTTTTCTGCTTTCTTTCCCAACCCTGTTTGCAAGTCTCTTGCCAAGCCCAACAGAAAGGTTTTGGGTGATTTCATAAAATCCATGTGGCTCACACGGATTTGCCCGAAAAGCCTTCCCCAGACTCTAGAAGAGGCTAGAAAATCAGAGTATCCAAAGAAATCAGGGGTGAAAGGCCTCAAGGAGCCAAGGGAGAGGAATAGAGTTTAGGGGGACGGAGGACATTTACAAAAGAAGGGGAAGAAGGGTTTGAGAACATGAAAATGGTAATTTTGGAAATTTGCCTACACATTATTTTTTTATTGTGATACATGTCCTGCCATGCTGTCTATCCCCTCAGGTGTTCTTGTCTCCGATTATCAGGAAGAAAGTTCTGGTGCAAAAAATCATTTGCTTAATGTGCTTTAGTGTGCTAGCTAGGGTTAGGGGAACGGCTGTGTCCAAAAACACGCTAAATTTTGTGTTCTTAGAGACTCGGTCTCTTGTTCTGAACTTACCACTCTCTCAGGGAAAAAAAGAAAAAAAAAATCAGTGTTAAGAGAAGTGTCCTGAAAAGTCTGACACCTCTGGCCCTAAATTTATTTTCTCATTAATGAGTAGAGGGGGATTTATTGTTCGAAACAATGTCTGTTTTATATCAACTCTTTTCCCCCGTTTTTCCCCCAGACAGTGGAGCTCCAAGGAGACTAAGCGCAGATGTTTTATATTTCAGGAGAGAGCAGTCTCCCCGATTCCTAAGAGATTCCTGGAATTCTTATACTTAACAAAAATTAGCTACAGAGAAAGGATCGTGAATCTGAGAGCCCACGAAGCCACTGAGAGCCAATCATTTCTTCTCCTCCCCCTACCAACCTTCTACCACCCAAAATGTCGCCCATGGCCCATCATGTTCCACGGGAAAAGCCCTCTGAATAACAAAGTGCCAGGCTCTACTGGCTGCCAGAACAGCTCAGCCATATTTTGCGATTGGAGTTGCCAATCCCTGAGCCACAATCACAAAAGCTTGAAATGGGAATCAGACCAGGGTTCCAATCCTGGCTCAATCTCTGCTTTGTTAATCATTTAAGTAATAAGTATCTTTATGACCTCATCTGCCCAACAGAGAGAGAGAACAACCTAGGACCTATCTCTCTTGCTGGATTCATGCAAAGATCCAAGTGAGACGCAAGTGTACACTCATAAATTAAATACTTATAAAAGCGAAGAGTATTTTTAGGAAAATCATTAACATCTGTTAACAGGACTTTGTGTTAACAAGTCCACTTTGCATAGGTGCAGGACAGTTTTCACGGAGGCACACAACACTGAGACTGGCCTCGGCTGGGCTCTCAAAGGATGCTCCATCCCCCGTCGGGTCCTGTCCCATTCCTCACAAAAGATGTTGCAAGCCTTTAACCATTCAACATTTATTCAATAAACATTTATTAAGCACCTGGCACAGTACCTGGCACATGCTGGGTACTCAATAAATATCTGCTGAATAATGAATGAACAAGTGCCTAATGCAGAGATGAAAGATACATGGCAGGTTGCCACCGGTCCCTGATCCTGAATCCGTATCAGAAATCACTAATGGATTAAGGCACTCTTCTCTGAAGCCTCGGGGTCTCAGCTCAGAATTCTCAGACTTGGCACATGAAATGAAATCTATTTGCCATCCCTGGCCTAGGCACAAAGATGAAACACATTTTACCGCTGCTTTCGTGGAGCTCACAGACTCATGGGAAACAGACAGTAAACAGACAAATGTAGCATAATATATGTTAAGACAGAAGTAGAAGAGCCCAGAGGAAGGTTGTGGCATTGAATGATGTCCATGAACCTATAGTTCTCAAACTCACCTTGGCTTTTAAGATGCCACGCCCTCGAGATATCTCTCCTGCCTCTTTAATAATCCTTTTTCTCATTCTCTCCACCACCCACTTTACATATTTCACCTTCTCAGGGTTCTGCCCTGGTCCTCTTCTATTCTGTACAGGCTCTTTTCGAATCACCTCATTCCCTCTTCCGACATCAATTGCCATTTACATGCTGATTAAACCCAAATGTATATCTCTAGCCCTGACTTCTCTCCCTGACTTCTCTCCCTGACTTCTGACATATATTTCCAACTGCCTCCTAGACTGTCCACTTCACTGTCCAATAAGCTACTGAAAACCCAACTCCTTAGCTCTCTCTTCTATCCTTCCAGGCAGCTCTCTTCAGACTCTGATAATCCTTACGTCCTTTATGGCATTCAGGGCTTTTTTTTTTTTTTTTTTTGAGACAGAATCTCACTTTGTTGCCCAGGCTAGAGTGAGTGCCATGGAGTCAGCCTAGCTCACAGCAACCTCAAACTCCTGGGCTCAAGCGATCCTCCTGCCTCAGCCTCCCGAGTAGCTGGGACTACAGGCATGCACCACCATGCCCGGCTAATTTTTTCTATATATATTAGTTGGCCAATTAGTTTCTTTCTATTTATAGTAGAGACGGGGTCTCGCTTTTGCTCAGGCTGGTTTCGAACTCCCAACCTCGAGCGATCCTGCTGCCCCAGCCTCCCAGAGTGCTAGGATTACAGGCGTGAGACACAGTGCCCTGCCAGTATTCAGGGCTTTCGACCTAGAAATCTTGGTGTTAACAGCAACTCAGCAACTCTTCCTTCTCCCTCAAATCTCTCCATTAACATGTCTTTTTAATTTAATCTCAAAAACAGCTTTTCTCACTCCTTTATCCCACTCTGCCACGCTATCTCTCACTTTCTAGCTCACATTTTCCCTAATCTCACTCCCTCCACTTTCATCCATCCTCTTCAGAGCCAACAATATTATCTCAAATCACAAATCTGATCTTGATACCTCTATTCCCTTCCCTCCCCCTGTCTTCTGGTTTTCAGTAGCTCCCCCACTGCCTCCAAGATTAAGTTTTTAGTTTGGCATAATCTGACCTCAATCTACTTACCCCTGACATGACCCCAGTTCTGGCCACGCAAAAGGCCTTCCTTCGCCCACGCTCTGCACTCAGCCTGGTTGTCCTGCAGACTTGCTTTTTTAGTGACCCTCTTGCATCCTCCAACATCCACGAACCCCATTCCAACGTCACTTTGAAATATCCTACACTTCCCCAGTACCTCACAGCAGAGTTACTTAATGCCATCCTCTGCAAGTGACTACAAGACTCTGAAATTTCTCTCTCATCAAAAAAATAAAAATTGTTATACATTAATATAAGGTAGTGTTAATGCTTATGTATCTTATAAAATTTGCAAATATCCTAAGTTTCCCCACACAAACAGAGAATTAACTGCTACATTCATTCATTAAATAAATATAAAATTCTCACCATGTAGCAGGGACCGTTCTAGTTGCTAAGGAAAGAACACCTCACTGTCACCAAGCCGGTGAGGTGCCCTCCTCAACATTCCCATGACACTCTGTCCATATCCCCATCACAGCATTTAATGCACAAGACTGGGGCTGCTTCCTTGTGTGTGAACACAAGTCCCCAGGGTCTACGAGGTGATCACTGGTGTCTTCTCCACCTGGAACACAGTGATGCACGATACACGTGAGTATGTTTTTTTCTGAATTCGATTATGATAGAAGAATCCCTGCTATCATAAGAGTTATAATCAGTGGATTTACATAGCGGAAAAGACAGATCATTACTGGTAAAGATATTTCTTTGCAAATACAAAATCAGATTTGGTTACCACGATATCGATATATTATTGTATCAAAAAAGTACAGATAGAATATATTTTTGGATAAATCTCATTACAGTAATGGATCTGAAAGATGAAAGATGTATTTTATAATATTGAATTAGCAGAAAACGTTTATAACTACTTGTTATTATAGTCGAAGAAGTTTTTTTATATAATGTCTCTATAAGAAAGGTATTTTATGTTAATTCTAGTGATGTGCACCCTAGCGCACTCATTGAAAGTATCGCTTGTTCGTAGATCTAGAATATAATCGATGAACTAATACATTATATATACATTTGTTGATTATAAAATATAAGTAGTATATGGAGTGCACACAAAGAAATCTACGCCAGGTGTAAGTAGAGAGAGGGAAGGAGGAGAAGCAAGTGAGATTACACAAAAATAGTCGTGGAGGTCGAGAAAGGAATAAGATTTCGAGAGAGTGAAAAAGGATAGGTATGCTATGAAACCAAGAGTTAGACATTAAACGACATGTAGAATATGTGCTTACTTGTGAGTCAGAAACTGTTTCCACAAAGAAGTGGGGAGTGTGCCATCAGACCTGCTTATTGTGTAGAGGAACAGCATAGAGTAATTTTGATACGCTTGGTATGATAATAGTGATGTTATTGATCGACTTATAAATCGGTTCATGGAATAGATTTGTTTCTTGTAAGGTCCAGACTGGACTAAATAACTAGCCCAGCAAACTTGATATATAAACCTGCCACTCGTACACATGTTAATTCTTTTATATGTGTGTGAGGTTCAGAATAAGAAGTACACGTGCTGGATTTTGAACCGCTTAGAATA